TGTGTGTGTGTGTGTGTGTGTGTGTGCTCAAATCTTTTATAATATCTGCAGTATTACCTGGTTGACTATAGACATGATTCAATCTTTCTTATGTTGAATTTATATCGTGCCAAAAAGAAAAGAAAAAAGCACACAGGAACAACCTGTGTGCCTTTATTTAGAAAGTCTGTCAATTTTGAAAAAAAATCTGTCTTTAGTTACTGATTTCTCTTACAGTCTGACTGAAACGGAAAAGACTCTTGAAGAAACCAAGAACAGATCGGCCATATCCCTTTTGGCTGCAGAGGAGGAAATAAATCAGCTAAAAAAGCAGTAAGAACAAAAAAAAAGTCAAAATTATTGCAGACTGCTGATTAATCTTTGAATTTAGCTTTCTTTTTTTTTTTGTGCTCCATTAAAATATGAAAGATTCTATTCAGAGGCCAGAAGGAATCACAGAAATACTTCCATTTAAGTTTTTAATATTTTCTTACTTTAAATACTTTAATTGCTTAGATTTGATTAGAAAACTCTCTAAGTATGAAATAGCATAAAGGAACTAAAAAACCACTCCATAATTCCAGTTACCATTTTGGTATCTTTCTTCCAATATAAGTATTAAAGAGAAAGTTAAAGTTACAGAATGGAGCAAGTAAGTCTGCAAATTTCTGACTCTGCCTTTTTTCCTTAACATTGTTTTCTATCAGTGAGAAGAAAATGCTGTAAAACTGTTTAAAAGAGCTGCATAATATGTTATAATCTGAGGGATTTCTCTTAAGTTAAATATTTAGATACTATTTTTCAACATTATGATAACATTGTGGTAATTATTTTCATGGTCAGTCTTAATCCAGTTTTCAGATTATTTTCTAAAGATACAATTCTAGAAGGGAAAAATATCGATTCTCTAAAGTGAAAACATCTTTGTTCATAATTTTAATGCCAAAAAAGAGCTGGTGAAAGTGTATTTTAAAAAAGTTGAGACTAGCCTATTGCTTCCACACACATCCTAGCTGTTCTGATTTCTTTGGGAACAACTGTTATTCTTAGCTTGCAGTTCTGCTTTACCTCCCTCCCCTCCCTCCCCCCCCCTCCCCCGTGCTTACTTCTATTGTAATTTTTCTCTTGTCATTTTTGTCTCATTTCTTATTGAGCATATCTTTTCCAATTCATTGTTCCCATTCCTAATCCTTAGAGCTCTATTTCAATTCTTCACTGTCTCCTTGATTGCATTTGCTGGATTTGGCTGGCAATGAGCTGTAGGCTGGAAGCCTCTTGTTTAGCGCCAATCAGGGCCTGGTGCACCAGCCTAGATTTTCTTTTTTAGTTTGGTTGGGCCCAAGGGCTGCAGGTTCTTGGGTCTGGTGTTACTGTGTTTGAAATGAAGATTCTCCTAAGTGGTACAGCACTGGTCTGTCAATGTGCTGTACAGAGGTAATTTGGGATTGCTGTGATACTGAACACTGAACCACTGGTGTGTCAATTGCCATGATTACACATGGTGGACAGTGTTTGGTGGAGCTCCCAGATTAGAACAGGCTTGGAAGTAGGAGTGGCATCCACTTCCTAAACAACATGCCTCTGGAAATTATGTATTTAGAGAAATGACAATAGTTAGAGGGTTAAAGTCTTTTGCTCAGAAAGTTGCTATGAGTTGTGCTTGACTTGACGGCACTTAACAACTAGTACAGCTGTTGTATTTTTAGCCTCTCTCCTTCCTTCTTAATCAATACTTTTGATTTTACATAATTATCATTTTCACCACAGCATATTCACTTCTCAATACTTCTGCTCCACTTTAATGGTGAGAATGCTTTTTTTTTTTTCAAAATCTTAAATGAAGAGGTAAATTTTATTTTTAAAGGTTTTTTTTTTTCTCATTACATTATTTTTGGAAGTCCACACTTTCACCTAGTCTTGTGAATGATGATTAGTTTGCATTGTAGTTTTCCCTATCTGTTCAAGGAGTTCTGGTACCATGATGGTCAAACACTTGAGGGCTGACCTGACATCCACCTCATGGGGGAAAGTGGTGGTAATGTACTTCCATAAATATACCCTTTGAAACTGTGTGAGGCACTGCTGTGGGTGACTATACCGGTAATGACATAGATTTGCTATGAGTCAGAATTGATTCAATGGTAGTGGACTTTTCACAGGTCCATTTGTTGAGAAAGTAAAAAAGCTAGTGAGGCTAGTAGATTATATCTTAGGCCAGGTACTGGACTATGCTTTGGAGGTCAAGTGCTTTCAGATTTGTGTGCAGTTATAGTAGTCTCTGCTTTTGCAAGAGGTTCTGGGATAAGCATTGTTTCTTTAGAATCTTTTTCCTTGAAAGCTACAGACCTATAGGGCACCTTGACCTCAGGCAGTGTTGTTTTTGTTTTAAAAATGTATTGTATTTACTTTTTCTTCATGAAAATATAAATAACAAAAGATAATGTATATCAATAATTTCTACATGTACAAATCAGTGATACAAATTATATTCTTTCAGCTACACAGTCACTATTCATAGTACCAGGCTATTAATTTCTAAAGTGTTCTACCACCTTTAACATAAACTCACTGCCTTCAAGAGTCTCATCCAAACTTTCAAGTTGCATTTTTCAATTTGATTCCTTATAGATAATATTTTAAAAGAGACTGTTGCTCAGGGCAGCCCTACTTCATTAATCAAACTACTGATTGGTTCAAAGATGACATCAAGGTAGTTTAATTGTTTGCCATTGAGTCAGAACCGACTTACAGTTAGTTGGCCCTTCAGCGGGTTTTCAGAGGCAGTAAATCACATGGGAGGAGATTGCCCATCCTTCTCCCATAAAGCAGCTGGTGGATTTGAACTGTGTGCCTTTGAAATTGCAGCACAGCTCCTTGCCACTAGGCCACCAGAGCTACCTTCAGGGTATAGTGTTGGTTTCATATTATTTCAGGGCGATACTTTATGATTTTTTCCATTCTCAGTGGCTTTGGAAGGGCTGGATTCCATGAGAAATTCTGTTCTTCATTGTCCCTCTTTTGATCAGATTAATCTATAGACTCTTTGATGTAGAAATTTAGTAAAGGTAGCTTGGCACCATCCAATTCTGGCGTCAAGGCATTCTGGAAGTCCCATTTTGCTAATCTTCATTTCATATGTAACCCATCAATTTTCTAATGTAATAATGGTATAGGAAGTAAGGTGCTTTTTGTCGTTATTTGTGCAAATTGTTGCTTATTTCTTTCTTTCTTTTCTTCCTCCTTTTCTCCATCCTTCCCTCTCTTTCTTTGTCTCCTTCCTTCTTTCCTGTTATTATCTCTCTCTCCTCATTTTTTCCTACCCTCCCTCTCTCTTCTTTTCCCTTCCCTCCTGTCTTTCTTCTTCACTTCTTAGGCTTAAATCTCTTCAGTCTCAAGAGGAAGCCCGCCACAGGAACTCAGACTACTATACAGACCACCGGAGCAGAGAGCGGGGTAGGAGTGTGGATGCAAAGAACTCAGGACCACAGCGCCCTGAGCCACACTACGCAGGTTCACGGAGCACAGAACCAAGGTACACAGAACCACGGGAAGCAGAGCTTCCCTACTCAGGGCCACGGGGCACAGAACCAAGATATGCAGAGCCAAGGTATTCAGAACCACGGGGTACTGAGCCAAGATACGCAGAGCCAAGGTATTCGGAACCACGCGGCTCCGAGGCAAGGTATTCAGAGCCAAGATATTCAGAACCACGGGGCTCCGAGGCAAGATACTCAGAGCCAAGATATTCAGAACCACGAGGCTCCGAGGCAAGATACTCAGAACCACGAGGTACTGAGCCAAGGTATACAACAGAACGCCGGGGCACCATCGACTCAAGGTATTCAGAATCACGAGGCACTGAGCCGAGATACTCAGAGCCAAGATATTCAGAACCACGGGGCACCGAGCCAAGATACTCAGACCCACAGGCCGTAGAATGCAAGTACTCGGAGGTGCGGACCTTAGACCTGAAGGACACACACAGGCGGAGCCTAGACCAGCGGAATCCCGAAGCCTTAGCTGACTATGAGAAACACCTCCAGATGCTCAAGGACGAGATAGCGGTTTTGTCTGCTGAAAAGAATGCACTCCAAGACAGGTCGGACAAACTCTCTCAGATATTTTTATTTAAGCTCCTTTTGATGTCTAAGTGGTTGAGTTAGTGATAAAAGGCTTGACTTGTGGGGCAGGGGAAAAAAAGAAAACAGCACCCGGAACCAAATCCCAAATAATGTGGGAAGCTTTGCATCGAAAGGGGCCTGTTTTCTTTGACTGCATTGTTTCGAGAGAGAACACACCTCTGGATCGTCAATACTTGGGCACATTCAGTTTGGGGCTGATATTGAAGCAGAAGGAATGAATCTGAAAGCTGCGATGAATGAAACATTTTCAGCTTCAAACTAGATTTGAGTGGCACCAGTCTTGAAAGAATGCTGTTACTTGCTGTTGTTGTTGATCGTGGAGTTGGAACCAGCTCATAGTTGGGCCTTCGGCAGGTTTTTTCAGAGGCAGTAAATTGCAGGAAGCAGATTGCCCATCTTTTAGCAATTGGTGTATTCAAACCCAATACCTTTGTGCTGACAATGCAATTCCTTACCATGAGCTACCAGAGCTTCTGTCTCCAATACTGTTGTTAGCTGACCTTTCGGTGGGTTTTCAGAGGCAGTTAATTGTACCGGAGGAGCTTGCCCCTCCTTCTCCTGTGGAGCAGCAGATGAATTCGAACCGTGTGTCCAATACTAATAGGCCCCTTTTCTCTGAGAAGGGAACTCTAGCGGCATGGTCTGCATTGCTTGCATTAACTGAAAGTTAGTACCTCTCTGGCGGTTTGGATCCCACAGTGACTCCATGGGAGAAAGACAGTCTTCCTCCATGTGATTTACAGTCTCTCCCACATGCTGGAGGATCAGCTCTGAGTTGATGCTGACTGGCAAGCAATGAATGTGTCTGTCAGTTTCTCTGAGACCCAAGGGTCACCTTCCAAGATAACCATGCCTCTGGTCTAGATTACTGCAAGACATCTGTTTTTAGATCTGTTTGATGGAGTGTTCAGGTGTGTGCTTGTGGAGTCTCTTTCTACTACTGGACAGAATCTGAAAACGAGTGTGGAGTGTGAAGGATGCTCCTTTTCCTTCATTCTAACACCTTCTCTCTTACCACCACATGCCCCATTCAGTCTATCAAAGCCATCTTCCTCTGCCTCTTCTGTTCTATTCTCCCCCACCCCCCAAATATCACTTTAGACTTGCACTTTTGAGAATGGATCAATGTTGTGTTGGTCCCAGCTTGTGTTCCCAGGAGCCAGCTCTATGCACCTCTTCCAATAACATCACACTGGTAGCTGAACATTGGCTCTGCTGGAGTGTTTCATCATGGCAATAGGCAGCCAGTGCAAAACAGCTCTTTTTCTCCCCCTCAGAGGGTCACACTGTTGTATTCAGTGCTACCTACTTTTTGCCCTACAGTCTTTTTTCTCCTTAAGACTTCTCTTTTGGGGGAATAATGTCTTTTGGGCTCAGCTCAAACTCATTGGCATTAAGTTAGAATTGATTCATTGCTGATCCCTCATTGGTCTACAAGGCGATAATATGGCACAGGAAGATATTGTTCATCCTTCTTCCAAAGAGCTGAGGTCTATTTGAACTGCCAGAGAGTCATGGCCTTGGTGTATAACAGTGCAGCTCCCTGTAGACTACACCACCAGAATGAGCAAATTTAATGACATACATTGTACTTAGTAATATGCTTTCCACTGAGAGTCACACCTCACCATTTCCATTGGAGCATAGCTGAGCCTCCAGTAGAATTTCAGAGGCTGTAAATCACTCAGGAGGAGATTGTCCATCTTTCTTTTGCAGAGGAGCTGGTGGATTTCAACCACTTACTTTTGGTTTGACAATGCAACTCCTTACCCACTAGACCACCACAGCTCTTGTCTACTGATAGAATACAATTTACCAAGTTCTTTCCCTTGTTTTAGCTTACCTAAGGTTTCAGCCCTTGGTTTCCATTCCCAAGGAGCCTGGATGGTTCTGTGGTTAAGAACTGGCTGTTAACCAGAAGGTTGGTGGTTTGAACCTACTAGCGGCTCTGTGAGATAGGCACAGAGCAATATGCTTCCATAAAGATTACAGTTTAAAGCTGTAAACTACCCCATAGGATTTCTAAGAAATCCCTCAAAATTTTTACTTTGTCCTATAGGGTCACAATGAGTCAAACTGGACTAGCTGGTAATTGGTCTTTTTTTGTTTTTTTAAAATTCCCACTCCCAAAATGTTGTTATGTTGTTGTTATGTGTCTATGGGTTGTTTTCAACTCAGAACAACCCTATTAAGAGAAGTTGTAAACACTGCCCTGTCTGGGTCCCCCTTGAATCCCTGCTGTACTGTAACAGGCACCATGTCAGTCCTTATCACTGAGAGCTTCCTCTTTTCTTTTTGTGGACTGCTTGGGAGTGGGCCTGGTGGTGGAATCTTTCAGAAGTTGCACTGTTAACCCAAAGGTGGCCCCCTTCTCTGGGGGTGTGCAAAACATAGCCCTGGAAACCTGTAGGAGGATAAGCTCTGAGTCGGTTCCGACTCGATGACAAGTGAATGTTTTGGTGAACCAAGCATGATCCTATGATAGATCCAAAATGCAGTAGATGCCGTCTGAAGCTTTGGAGAGAAGTGACTTTGAAGGTGACACTGGTAGGAAAGGATGTTGCTCGAATGACAGCCAAGGTCTTTCTCCTTGTTTAGTGTGTTGTTCATTCTATTTTATACCATGTGGGACGTATGATGTGTATGATTTGTTAGCGCTTTTTTTTTTTCTTTGTTAGCTCTTTTCTTGATGCCGTAAGATCTTGCAAATCTGACTTCTCTAACTCGGGCTCTTGCTAGCTGTGTTACTTGAAAGAAGGCCCTGTTAGTAGCTGTGCTGAGCTTCAGGTTCTCATCTGTAAAAGAGTAACAATGCACTGTGGCCTCCCAAGGTTTAAAGGGTATGTTGAGGTGCTGAGTGAGTCAAGTGCTGATAGGGTCTGTCATGAGAGCGGAATTACATCTTCTTGCCTGTGGTTGTATTGGAAGCTTGTGGGAACAGTCATGGAAACAGCTACTTACCTGTCTGCTGGAGCTCCCGACTCTTGAGCATCTTTGCAGTGTATGGGGGGAGAACTAGAGTCCAGGAACCACAGAGGCGGACGTAGCAAGAAAGGCTTTTCCCCTGGCTTACCAACAGGTCCAGCAGGAGCCGGTCTCCTAGCCCAGACCCTCGCAGCCGCAGCCGGTCGGCCAGTCGGTCGGCCAGCCGCCCTCCCAGCCGCCCGGCCAGCCGCCCGGCCAGCCGCCCTTCCAGCCGGGCTGCCAGCCCCTCCAACGCGGTTGCAAAGGTTCGAAGCCCGTCCCCGAATCGCTCCAAGCTGTCCAACATGGCGCGCAAGGCTGCCCTCCTGTCCCGGTTCAGCGATGTCTATTCCCAGGCGCGTCTCGACACGCAGTGCCTGCTGCGGCGCTGCATTGACAACGCCGAGACTGTGCAGCGGATCATCTACATCGCCACGGTGGTACGTGCAAGCGCAGGTCGCTGGTCTGCAGAGGCGGGCCCTGGGGACCGCTGCGAGACCCAGGTGGGCGGGACAGAGGGTTCGCGGGGCCAGTGAATGGGACGCTCATTGGCTTTCCTCATCCCCTCTTCCCTCCCTTCCTTCTTTCATTACAAACATTTGGGGTAAAGTGTCTTCACAATCAGTACTATAAATATTCGAATTGACTAGCTGTTTGTTGAAGAGTCATTCTATACTGGAAGACTGTCTCAAATGGGTCTAAGTTGATCTGTACTATATGGTCTGCCTGATAGCGGCTGTGTCAGTGTTGGTGGCAATCATTTGGTTGGCTCCCATCGCTTCTTAGAAAAATCAGAAGGTCAAAAATTGCCTTAACTTTCTTGGTTAAGTGCTTGTTAATTAACTGAAAGATTGGTGGTTCTAAACCAACCAGAGACACCTTAGGAGACAGACCTGTTTGCTCCTAAAAAGTCATAACTTTGAAAACCCTACGGACTCTTCTGCAACTGGTGGGCAGAAGCTGACTCCATGACAACTTAGATTAAGAACAGGCCACTAACCAGGTACCGTGGTGGTTGTTGTTATGTTGTCATGTGCCATAAAATCAGAACTGACTCATAGCTGACCTTCCAGTGGGTTTTCAGAGGCAGTTAATCACGTGGGAGGAGATTGCCTAGCCTTCGGCCACGGAGCAGCTGGTGGATTTGAATTGTGTGCCTTCGGGATTGCAGGGTAGCTTCTTAACCACCAGGCCACTTAGAGTGCTCTATCAGCTGCTAAGTTTGGAAATTTTAAAAAAAATGCACATAAATAATGCTTAATTATAAAAGTAAGTAAGTTTGCTCTGTGGCTACCACAGAATAAGACATTAAAAGTCCATTATGAGAATATTTAAATAGACTTAAGTAGAAAGTATTT